TTAAAACTATGATACAAATGCCAATATGCTGAAGGTGTTGAATTTTGGGCACGACATGACGTTGAATTCTTCTTCTGTTGTCTTCGCCTCTGTGCCTACTTTTTTGCTGTAGAGTCCTCTCCCTGTCCCAAAGACCCCTTTTCCCACCTCCAAAACTCTCCCTCAATCTCGACTCTTCCATTAAGCTTTCTACCTGCATTGAGAACTGTCAACGTGACATAGGTTGTCTCAATTTCTCTGCCCCCACCTTACGCATTCCAACCTATCTTCCCAAGAACTGACTGCATTTCATGTTCTCATATCCAACCCCGACTTTGTAATTAAGCCTGCTGACAAGGGTTGTGTGTTGTTGTCTGGCAGACTGACCTCTACATTGCAGAGACTGAGCACCAGCTCTCAGATACCTCCTCCTATCTCCCCCGGACCATGATCCCACAATGGAATATCAGGCCATTGTGGCAACTACGGTCACCAACCTCATTTTATCTGGCAATCTCTCCCCCCACTGCCTCCAAGCTGCTAGTATCCCAATCCTGCACAGCTCGCTTCTACCTCCTTCCCAAAATCTAAAAACAGGACTGTCTGGGCAGATCCATTTTTTCTGCCTGCTCCTGCCCCACAGAATTCATCTCTTCTTACCTTTACTCGGTCTTTTCTGCACGGGTTCAGTCCCTGTCCATTTACATCTGGGATTTCTGGGATTCCTGTGACGCTTTACGCCAGTTTTGAAATTTCCAGTTTGTGGGCTACAGCTGCATCCTCTTTACCATAGACATGCAATCCCTCTATGCGTCCATCCCCCACCACGATGGTATCAGCGCTATCTGCTTCTTCCTGGAACAAAGACCTGAACCATCCCCACTCACCACCACCCTCTTCCGCCTGGCTGAGCTCATCCTCGCCCTGAACAACATCTCTTTTAACTCCTTTCATTTTCTTCAGGTCAGAGGGATGGCTATGGGTAGTTGCATAGGCCCCAGCTATGCCTGTCTCTTCCTGGGGAACATGGAACATTCCTTATTCCAGTCCTATTCCAGCCCCCACCCATAACTCTTTCTGTGTTAAATCGATGATATCATTGGTGCTGATTCCCTTTCTCGTCCAGATTTGGAAATATTTGGCTTCCAATTTCCACCCTGCCTTCACTCTCACCTGATCCATCTCTGATTCCTCCCTTCCCTTCCTTGACATCTCGGTTCCATTTCTGGGGATAGGCTGGTCACTAATGTTTACTATAAATTCACCAACTCCCATAGTTACCTCGACTATACATCCTCACACCCTGCTTCCTGTACAGACTCTATTCCATTCTCCTAGTTCGTCCGTCTCTGCTGCATCTGTTCCAATGATGCCAGCTTTGACAAGGGAGCCTCTGAAATGTCCACTTTCTTCTTCAGCCGCAAATTCCCTAGTACTGTAGTTGACAGGGCCTTCATCTGGGTCTGACCCATCTTCTGCACTTTGGCCCTCATCCTCAATCTTCCCTCCTGCAGTAGGGTTCCTCTTGTCCTTACTTACCATCCCACCAGCATCCACATCCAGACGATCATTAGCTGCCGTTTCCACCACCTCCAGAGAGATGCCATCCCCAGACATGTGTTCCCCTCCTCTCCCTTGTCTGCCTGCTGCAGGGACCTTTCCCCCTTGGATACCCTGTTCCACTCTTGCTTCACTGCCAACAGCACCCCCCCACAGCCCCACAGCCCCACAACCCCACAACACCTTCCCCTGCAACCACAGAAGGTTTAACACCCATCCATTTACTTCGTCCCTTCTCAGTATCCAAGGGCCCAAAAATACCTTCAACGCGGGGCAGCACTTTACCTACACTTCACACAATCTAGTCTGCTGCTCACAATGTGGTCTCCTCTACATTGGGGAAATGTAGCATAGACTGTGTGACTGCTTGGCAGAACATCTGCATTCTGCTCGCAATAAAGACCCTGAGTTTCCAGTTGCTTGCCACTTCAACACACCACCCTGTTCCGTAGCCAACATCTCTGTATCAGGCTTGTTGCAGTGCTCCAGCAAAGCTCAGTGCAAGCTGGAAGAACAGTACCTCATTTTCCGTTTGGGGACCCTGCAGCTTTCTGGACTCAATATCAGGTTTAACAGCTTTAGGGTTTGAACACTCACATGTCCTTACCTGTACTCACACACACCAGGCTTTATTATCACATAATCTACTATTACACACAACCCATTGTTAGCCACTAACAGACTCCATTAATAACTATTCACCCTCCTAACCAGTTTGTTATCCACTCCATTGTCTGTCCAACTGTTCTTCTCTGTGTCTGGGCTCTATTCCCACCCCTCATTTACTCTATCCCCTCTCTTCATCCTGTCTTCTACGTATGAACTGGCATTTTCCTAGCTACCATCAGTTCTAAGGAAGGGTCACTGGACCCAAAACATTAACTCTGATTTCTCTCCTCAAATGCTGCCAGACATGCTGAGCTTTTCCAGCAATTTCTGATTTTGATGTTGAGGAAGCTAGTGTCATGACAGAAGTACATTTCAACAAAAGGATAAATTGACGATGTTGGAAATTGGAAATGAAAGCGGAAAATGCTGACAATACCCAGCAGGTCAGGCAGCATTTTGGAGCAACTTTTAATGCTTCAGGTCAATAATGACTTTTCATTAGATCTGAAGAATGACATAGATGCAATAGGTTTTGAGCTGGTAGAAGTGTGAATGGGCAGGAGAAACAAAGGGGAAGGTCTTTGGTAGGGAAGATTAATGAACAAAACATGTTGTGAAAAAAAAAGGCATGGGGTGTGGGGTTGGGGGCGTAATGGTTGTAATAAAGAGACAAGATATGTCCGGATGAGGTTGGAATGACAGGAGAGCAACTGTCTGAATGCAATATGAGAGATTAAGAAATATATGAAACAAGAATGAGCCATCCAAAAGCAACATATAGAATGTGATGTAAGCAGATGTTATGATCTAAGATTATTGAACTCAGTGTTGAATCCAGAAGGCTGTAAAATGCTGAATCAAGGGAGTTTGCATTGAATCTCATTGAAGTTTCAATTCATGAAAGTATTGTAACTAGCCAAGGCCAGAGTGTGAGCCAAGTGAACAATGAAAATGACAAATGATAGGAGGCTAATGTTTGCAAACCGAACTGAAGTGGTCCACTAAGTGGTCTCACAATCTGCCTTGATTTCTCCTCTATAGAGGGGAGCAGTGAATATACAATACTAAACTGAAAAGAAAACAAATAAATCTCTGTTTAATTGGAAGGAGTACTGGGCACTGGCTTGTGAGATAGAGGAGGTGAAAGTGCATGTGTTATATCCCTGTATTTGCATGGAAGGGGGCCACTGAAGGAAGGGGTATTACGTGTGACTGAGGAGTGGACCATGCAATCTCCAGGGAATGGTCCTTTTGAAATACTGAAATGGGGGGACAGTGGAAGACATGCTTTGTGACATCTCACTGAAGCTGTCTGTCTGTTCATGTACATATCTGATTGTCTCTTAAAAAGGACAACAGCAACACTATCATGGTTCTTGAAGGAATGGTAAGTATATTTGAAAGAAATAAATTTAATGGGCCAGGTCTTCTAATATCTAGAGCAGTGATGCACCTAATCTGTTAGTGCAAATAGAATCCTGAGGATGTCCTGATGTGTGCACTTGCGTGCCAAATGCCCAGGAGTTTAAAACCTCCAATGGGCTGATCTGCACAGTCCGAGACCCCCCACAAATGCCACTCATGCAGAGCTCAGGGTTGGAGACTTAAGATACACACTACTTAACCCTAGAATTGGAGTTAACCCTCTGCTGTAACTTTGTGATTAACAGTATTACTCAACCTAACATCTCCTAATCCCATGCTCAATCCAAATATGATCTACTTAACCATTCACCCACTCATTCACACCCACTAAATCATCCACATGCATTTGCACTCTACATACAAACACACACACACACACTCTGAACATCTTCAAAACAATTAAAAACTTGTGAATGATGTTGGCAAGGCTTGTACATTTTGCCCATCCCTGATTTCTTTCATTTTTTTAGCTGGACCACTTCAGAGCAGTTACAGGCTTCCTTCCCTGAAAAAGAATCTCTGCCCTCAGATCTTCTTGGGGATGTCATTTTTGTAAGGTCAATGTATGGCTGGTCAGCGGGGCACAGCAGCACAATATTATCAATAAGGTCACATTTTGTGGAATGTGTAAATTCTTTACCCAGGATCCATTGTAGGAGAGAAACCAATCTATCTCTGGATTGATTGCTTTGTATGTCCATAACCCACTGATGGAGGGATTTCTCTGCCACCATGGATCTGGGTAAAGAACTTCCTATTCTCCAAATGTTGGTTCTTTCCAAAATCTGTTGCTCTGGCTTCTCTGAACAGACACTACCTGACTTGATGAATATTTTCAGTTTTTGTACTGATTTCCCCTTGATAACTGCCTCTGCCCATTACAGCATCTGTTCTTAATACCTGATCAGGATCTGCAAACAAAATATTTGCTACCCTCCAAGTATCTCCTTGAAAACAAAATTACTGTGTTGAGAATTGAAGTGATTATATCAAGCCACCTGCTTTGCTTGTAAAAGAAGTAAATTTCTTAATCATGGATACATTAAGAGAAAGAGCTTATATTTCCACATTAGTTGTGAGGCAAAATAAATAAATCACCCATTGTGAATACACAGGCAATATTCAGACAATGCCATTACCTTGTGATTGCAGTGTCTGATATGGTGGGAATGTGGTTACTGCCAGTGGAAGTGGTTGAGGCAGGTACATTAACAACATTTAAAAGGCATTTGGATGAGTACATTGATAGGAAAGGTTTAGAAGGATATGGGGCAAGTGCAGGGAAGTGGGGCTAGCGTGGATGGACATTTTGATCACCATGGACTAGTTTTGGCCGAAGAGCCTGTCTCCATGCTGTAGGGCTCTATTACTCTATAACTCAATGATATTAATGCATAACTCATGATAGGATGTTTTTCACTCTCTAGGTTTGTTGCTGCACAACATGGGATTTGTCCAACTGTAAGTGGCTCTCTGTCCCCATTGTCGACCACTCCATCAACACAATATCTTTATCTCTAAGCCAGTGTCACCAGAAGGTGACTGGTATTCGTTATGCTTGGATGGAGTGGCCATGTGACTTGAAGAAGTGTCCCTTGTATGGCAAAGACTATAACTTACCTGCCCCAACATTCATGCTACCATCAGCCCACAATGGAGTATTCTGAATGTTACCAATCAAATTGTTGCTATAAAGTAAATGATAGGGACATTTACACTGGTTAAAATATTACCAGCTTTAGTGCCAGTCCAGAACTCTTTTCATTGGGGTGATGTAAGTCTGATGTTTCATGCACAGAGTTTGGAAGACCTGTGGAAGTTATGAATCCAATGTGATCCTGCTAGACTTTTTAATAATAATATATTTTCTACTTTATCTTTTTCTAATATGTGAAATAAATTAATCTCAGGCGTGTACACATGCTGAAAATATAGCATTAACTTTACTACATGATGTGAATACTTTAAATTAAATAATAAATTTGTACAGGCAGTAATTGGGTTGGGATCTAACAATATTGGGGCAATGATAAATCTATCAAAAGCATGTACTGTTAGTAGTTTAATTAAAAATTGATGTGAAACACTTACAGAAAATAAATTACAATCTGGACTGTGATCAGTGCATATCCTTGCAATAATTTTATTAGGAACAAAAGCCTTAAATTATAGACTTAACAGAGTGCTACCACACATACAGAACTCATGCTCCATGCAGGAGTTCAAAGCCATGTCAGTTCACCAATTTATGAGCTATCACAAGAAAGCAGTTTGAAAATCCTCTTCTAATATTACCAAAGTGACGGGTTTAACATTGGAAGCTACCAGCACTAATGTAAGATTAGTTATAAAATGGCCCAACTGGGAATAAAATGAAAATTTGGGCATTGCAACTTCAGCAACTGTTAGAATCAGACTTCTGATAATGCACAGGATGTGCTTAAGATTACATGTGCTGAAAAAGTTTGAAGTTTCTCTTTACCTGTATGTTTCCTGCATGTAGACTGGGTAGGCTTGATCTAAAAACATTTTCAAGGTACATCAGCATGGAAGGCACAGGAAAAATCGTCATACTTTTGGATACAAAAAGTCATTTTGTACTTTGAGATTATTCCTCCTCTCGTTTCATTCTCAACTCCTCAGTATTGAAGCAGCACGTAGCTGAATGCAGCAAGACCTGGACTGGTAGTTGATAAGGAACATTCACACCACATAAGTGCCAGGTAAAGACCATTTATAACCAGGAAGAGTCTAATCATCTTCTCCTGACATTCAACAATGAATCCCCTATTGTTGTACAGTCAAAATCTGAGTCTGTTTTCATCGCCAACTTGACAGATCAACCAAATAAGTACTTTGACTGCAACAGGTCAGAGGCTAGGAATTCTGCAATAACTCTCCACTTGATTCAGAATTGCTCCACTATCTACTACAGTCGGGAATATGATGGAACACTCTCTGCTTGAATGGTTGAGTGCAGCACTCAAAAAGCTCAACTCATCTGAGACAAAGCAGTCTGCTTGATTCATGCCACATTAACCACTCTAAGTATGCATCAAAGGTGCAGCATGGCTTCAGTGTCTACAAGATGTACTTAGTTACTAAGGCTCCTTCAACAGCACCTTCCAAAATTGTGACCTATTTCTCCTAGAAACATAAGCAGCAGATGTTTTCTTTTCTTCAAGCCACAAACCTTTTTGATTTGGAACTATATCACTATACCTTCATTGTCATTAAGTCAAAATCCTGAACTCCTACCCTAACTACACAATGGGAGGATCTTCATCACATGGACTGCAGCCATTCAGAAGGTGACTCTGCATTTTGGCTGCAAAATCATCATGTGCAGTTAAACTAACTATTGGACATTAGATAGAGGTAGACAGTTATTTATGCTACACTCTGTGAAACAATTCTAAGGCAAGTTGCGTATAAAACGTAAGAATCTCTGTGGTGATATTTAGTAGTGAGGGCATTTATAAAAGTTTCTTTACCCTCAAGGTGGAATCTATGAGTTATAGCCAAGAGTGCCTTTACATGCTTATTTAGATTTTACACATTATTAGAAAAGTTTAGTTATACAAAAATTCTTTTTGAAACAAGCTTATTTTGTAACTGCTTTTATAAATCATTAATTGTTTCAGATTGGTGTGTAGCAAAGGCCCTTCAAAGTTGGATTAGCTCTAATAGTTATCAAGCTACCAAAAGAAAATGGCTAGACTAAAAGAATGAGCAACAAACAAAGCCAGGATGCTAAGAGGTAAGGCCAAGTGTAGAATGACGTAAGAAATTGCAAATGGTGATTTTAAGAAAGAAATACAAAGGTTGACACTTCTCCTAGTAGGATCAGATTTTTTTTTTCTCTTTTTTTTCTTTTTTGTTGTGCGTGTGCAGGTGTGAGACACAGTAAAAAACACCAGGTGTGCAAATAACTCTATTAACATACCACCACCAGGAAAAACACCCATGTGACAAAAGCATTAGTATCAAGCAGCGCCCCTGTAGGAGCAATGACTTTATGAAAGAAAAAGTGAAGGGGAGGGTAGGGATCCAATCAGAGTGTTATTTGTGGGGGAAACAAAGCACTCCACACCCTGTGGTGCCACCTCTCCCAAAAGGCATCGAGAGCTCCAGTGCACACCGCGTGGTCCTCCAGGGACACTCAGGCGCAAGGATCAGATTATATTGTTTGTGTTAATTGCTTTAATCTGTTGATTACTAGACTCTTCTTGTTCATAAGAATTATACATTGCTCGTGAGTCAACTTGCTTAAATGTGACTGCTACGTATGCTTTTAAACCAAACATGAATAAAATATGTGTCTTCCACACCAGAATGGTTTGGCCTCCTTCGTAATATCTTGCACCTTTTTATTTTCGCATTGACTTGCAAATGAGTCCTTTTTAAGTATATATTGAATTCTCTTCTGAAGGTAACTATTGGATTAGTTTCCACCACCCTTTCAGTTAAAGCATTCCAGATCACAAAACATAATATTCAACTGGTGAGTTTTTCTTTTAATCAACCAACCAGGACTTGAAAAACCCAAACAAAATGTCTACTGTAAAAGATGAGATTCCGTGATTGGACAGTGCTTGTTGAACAATTCTGAGTGCACTAATAGCAATGTTATCAACATAGTTAAGATCATCATTTGAACTTGTAACACCAGTGACATGTTGAGGCTGTGAAGATTTCCTACGGTAACTCAATATCCATGGACCAGTCGAACCAGGAACATTCCTTGTCACAGTGGATGTTTTGGCACTCTACATCAGCATCCCCCATGACAATGGCATCATTGCAACAGCCTCAAATCTCAATAGCAACAACTGCCAATTTCCAGATTTCATCCTACAACTCATCCACTTCATCCTCGAGCACAACATCTTCACCTTCGACAACCAGTTCTTCATCCAGATGCATAGAACAGCCATGGGGACCAGATTTGCAACCCAATATTCTAACATTTTCATGAATAAGTTTGAGCAAGACTTCTTTGCTGAGCAGAACCTCCAACCAATGCTATACACCAGATACATTGAGGACATTTTCTTCCTTTGGACTCATGGCGAGGAATCACTGAAGCAACGACATAGCGAATTCAACAAGTTTCATCCAACCATCAGACTTACCATAGACTACTCTTCAGGATCAGTCTAATTCTTGGACATACGCATCTTCATCAAGGACAGACACTTCAGTACCTCACTCTACTGCGAGCCCACAGATAACCTTACAATGCTTCACTTTTCTAGCTTCCACCCTAAACATATTAAAGAAGCCATCCCCTACTGACAAGCGCTGTGCATACACAGGATCTGCTCATATGAGGAAGAACGCGACGGACACCTGAACGTTTGAAGGAAGCCCTTATAAGAATGGGATACGATGCACAACTCATTGATCACCAGTTCTGATATGCCACAGTGAAAAGCCGCAATGACCTCTTCAGAAGACAAACACAGGATACGACTGATAGAGTACCCTTTGTTGTCCAGTACTTCCCGGAGCAGAGAGACTACGCCATGTTCTTTGCAGCCTTCAACATGCCTTTGATGACAATGAGCATCTCGCCAAGATCTTCCCTATGCCTCCAATACTTGCAGAAGTATTAGGGTTGTTGTCATGGGTGACTTTAACTTCCCTAATATAGACTGGAACCTCCTAAATGCAAATAGTTTGGATGGAGCAGATTTTGTCAGGTGTGTCCAGGAAGGATTTCTGACTCAATATGTAGATAGGCTGACTAGAGTAAAGGCCATATTGGATTTGGTGCTTGGCAATGAACCAGGCCAGGTGTCAGATCCCTTGGTGGGAGAGCATTTTGGTGATAGTGATCACAACTCCCTGACCTTTACGATAGTCATGGAGAGGGATAGGATCAGACGGTATGGGAAAGTATTTAATTGAGGGGGGGAATTACAGTGCTATTAGGCAAGAACTGCAGAGCATAAATTGGGATCAGATGTTCTCAGGGAAATGCACGACAGAAATGTGGAAGTTGTTTAGGGGGCAGTTGCTACAAGTACTGGATAGATTTGTCCCACTGAGGCAAGGAAGGGATGGTAAGGTGAAGGAACCTTGGATGACAAGACATGTGGAACACCTAGTCAAGAGGAAGAAGGAAGCTTACTTAAGGTTTAGGAAGCAAGGATCGGACAGGGCTCTAGAGGCCTACAAAGTAGCCAGGAAAGAACTGAAGAATGGACTTAGGAGAGCTGGAAGGGGTTTTGAAAAAACCTTGGCGGGTAGGATCAAGGAAAACTCCAAAGTGTTCTATGCTTATGTGAGGAACAAGAGGATGGCCAGAGTGAGGGTAGGGCCATTCAGGGATAGTGGAGGCAACTTGTGCGCGGAGTCAGAGGAGGTAGGGGAGGTCCTTACTGAATACTTTGCTTCAGTATTCACCAGTAACAGGGACCTTGACGTTTGTGAGGACAACATGAAGCAGGCAGATATGCTCGAACAGGTTGATGTTAGGAAAGAGGATGTGCTAGAAATTTTGAAGAACATGAGGATTGATAAGACCCCTGGGCTAGATGGGATATACCCAAGGTTACTACATGAAGTGATGGAAGAGATTGCTGCCCCTTTGGCGATGATCATGCATCCTCACTGTCCACTGGAGTAGTACCAGATGATTGGAGGGTGGCAAATGTCATTCCCTAGTTCAAGAAAGGGAATAGGAATAATTCTGGGAATTATAGACCAGTCATTCTTTCTTCTATGGTGGGCAAATTATTGGAGAGGATTCTAAGAGATAGTATTTATGATTATTTGGAAAAGCACAGTTGATTAGAAATAGTCAGCATGGCTTTGTGAGGGACAGGTCATGCCTCGCAAGCCTTATTGAATTCTTTGAAGATGTGACAAAACACATTGATGAAGGCAGAGCAGTGAATGTGGTGTTTATGGATTTTAGCAAGGCATTTGATAAGGTTCCCCATGGTAGGCTCATTCAGAAAGTAAGAAGGCATGGGATTCAGGGAAATTTGGCTGCCTGGATACAAAACCGGCTGTCCAATAGAAGACAGAGGGTGGTGGCAGATGGAAAGCATTCAGCCTGGAGCTCGGTGACCAGTGGTGATCAGGGGAACCGAGTTTAAGAGCTGCGAG